CCCCCCCCCCACACACACACACACATTTGTTAGTGTCTGAGGACATTTTTTTGTTGTCACACTGGGAAGGGGGATACTACTGGCATCTACTGCTCAACATCCTATAATGTACAGAGCAGCCGCCCACAACAAAGAATTCCCCAGCCTACAGTGTCAATAGCGCTGAGGTTGAGAACCCCAGCTCTAGCCAATCTGTATACAGTATATACACAGAGATAGAAAACAGGTGGTCTGAAGGTCAAAGTCAGGCCTAGGAGATCGGGGCCCAGTGGAAGCCTAAGAACACAGTGACAGGACAAGGGAAGGAGGCACAAGTCTGCCTGGACCAGGGCAGGAGACAAAAAGCAGTCTCTGGGAGCAGGGTTCAGCCGGTTGCCAGGACATGAAAGGAGTAGGTTCAGAATTCAGACGATGAGCTACAATGAGGTCTTCGAAGACTTGCTTCTCTGGGACTGTGGAAGATGCTGGTACGCATGTGGTCACAGATATCTGTCTCCTCCAGAAAGCTGCCTTTGGCCTTAATCCTCCAAATGCCCTACCTCCTCCAACCCCCACCCCTCACTCCAGTGCTCAGGCTATAGGTCTGAAGCCTTTATTATTTGACCCACCACTACATTCTGCCCTGGTCCCCAGAGTGAGCGGTAAGCTCCTCCAAGACAGCGTTGTATATCTTTTCGGTCCATGGTATCATAGCACATAGCAATACATAGGATGGCTGCTGAATTGATGTCAGTGCTGTATTCTCCTCCCAATGTAAGAAATTCTGTATGTATACATTTGAATAAAACATATTAAATAGGAAGGAAAAAGGAAGTGATCTCCTCTTTTCATCTGGGAAGGTCATTTGGCAGTCTATCTTGAAAAACCTGTTCATGCTTTCTTTTTAGTGTTAATCTGATCTATTTGACTGCCTTCCCCCTTCGTTAGCCTTTTTAGCAGTTTCCAGTAGTAATGCAGTCCATTTCATAAAAAAGTCACAATCTCGGTGAATGCTTTTTAGAGACAAATGCCTATAATCGAAGCACAAAGTTTGTCTAGCCTTCACTATACAACTAAAAAAAAAAAAAAAAGTTTAAGTTCTATAACTCATTAATCTGCTAATGACTTTTCCCTGTAAGGGGTAGTTTGATTCTGTTCAGCTTTAATTATAACAAAATATTCATGCAGGCTTCCTGTCTGCTCTCCATATTCAAGATGAACCATTCTATAGACTGAGAAGTAATGGAGCATTTTTGGAATAAAAGGCAATTTTCCATGTTCAAACTTTTCCATTCGGGGCAGGTTCAGCACTTTCCTATTCTTTACATTCCCAAAATGTAAGGAACTCATCGGAAGCAATCCAAATATCTGCAAGTCTATTTTACCAAAGAAATAAAAGGGCTATTTTTCACCCCCACAAAACCATTTATCAAAAGATTGAACCCAAGATTATTTTTACTCAGCAGCATCCACTCTCCACCCATTTACTAGTAAATGTAGATGCTACTTACACAGCATTTCAGAAACCAGAATTTTGTAAGAGCCAAGAAGGAATAATGAATGAGCCCAAGCCCTTAATTTTGTGGTGAGGAAACTGAGGCTTAGGAGTTGATATGAACTCTCAATGCTACCTAATGACAACAGCTAGGACTTAGCAAGGGCCCACGGCTTCTCACATCTTCATCACTTCCTCCGTGTCAAAGCCGGCATTGTAAATCACTTGGGCTGATGCAGGAGCCTTCTAAGGCCTGCGTCTGCCCTGCCTCCCACATACCACTCTTCCCACAAAGACTAGTCACTCCACACAACAGCCAAGAGGGATGCATCTACAACAGATGGCAAACTATGTCTCTCCTTTGCTGAGAAACCTCTCCAATGTCTTCCCAGCTCTCCTGAGTAAAAGCCATCTTCACATGGTCTACATGGCCTAGTCCAGCGGTTGGTTCTCAACCTGTGGGTCACGACCCCTTTGGGGGTCGAACGACCCTTTCACAGGGGTTGCCTAAATACATCCTGCATATCAGATATTTACATTACAATTCATAACAGTAGCAACATTACAGTTATGAAGTAGCAACGAAAATAATTTTATGGTTGGGGGTCACCACAACATGAGGAACTGTATTAAAGGGTCGCGGCATTAGGAAGGTTGAGAGCCACTGGCCTAGTCCATTTCTAGTTACTTATCTCTTTAGTCGTTGCTCTCCAGCTGCACCCATATACATCACCCTGGGGACTTTGCCCTTGTAGTTCCCTATGCCAGCAACTTCTTCCAGACATCCAAACGATTCCCTCCTTACCATTAGGAATCTTCTCAAACTCTTCCATAGGTGGCCTCCCTGACAACCCTATGTCTCACCTCCTATCTCTCTCTCTCCCACCTTACTTGCTTTACTATTTTTTCTAAAATGTTTACCAACTGATGTATTATATATTTATTTATCGACTGCCTTTCCCACTAGAATGTAAGCTCAACAAAAAAAAAGTCCCTGCTGGATCCCCAGTGCCTGGCACATGGCAGGCACTCAATATTTTTGGAGCAAGTGCTTACTATGTGTCAGGTACTAACTACTCTAAGGAAGATACAGGAACCAATTTACTTAATCTCCCCGATAAACGAGATAGGCACTATCTTCATCACCATTACTGTCATCTCTGATTCACAGATGAAGAAACAGAGTCATGGGGAGGTTGAGTAACTTGTCCAGAATCACTCAGCTAGTCACTGGCAGAGCCAGGATTTGAACCTGGGCACTCTTTACCCATCATGATGTATTAGATCACTCTTAGCTTAGCTAAGGACAACTTCAATGATACCAGACTCTCAGAAATTGAGATATACTGAATACACTTTCAAAATGTCAATAGTTTTCTATTACTGCCTAATATTTTAAAGTAATCAATAACGTATGATGTTGAGCTAAGATTGGTAAACAAGTGCAAAAATGTAAGCCACAACGGTGCAGCACTTCAGTGTCTAACTCAGAGAACACACAGATGACTGTGGCTTACAGGCGTGTGCAGGTAATTCTTCCGACTGGGCTGAGATTACCACAATTAGCTCTGGTCCATAAAGGGAAAGCTAAGACACAAAAGCCGCAGTGATGTTCCAGGCCACACAGCCAGCAACAGAGAGGGCCCCTCTGGGATTGCAGCAGGTCACACATGCTCTCAGCTTATTAGTGTCAACACCCTGATGATTCACACAATGGAATGTTTAAACCAAGATGTCACCTAATAGAGGTATGTTGATACAGCTTTATCTGAGAAGTTACATAATCATACTCATGTGGAAATGCCATAAAGGAATTTGTGCCTTAGAATAAAGAGGGGTGCACCCCCTGGAAATGACTCCTACAAAGATTTTCAGTGACAAATATACTACCCTGCACTGGGCAGGTGTCTCATACAAAAACAGGACCTAATGGAGGCTCTTTGGTAAGACTGAGCCAGACCCCGGCCTGAAAGAGCCCCAGGTTCCCCAGGAGAGAGGCCTGCTCTGTAGCTCATCTCCTGGGATATAAAGTGCCTACTGAGAATCCTCCTGCCTTTGGCTTCGGGGCCCAATATTTAATTATGCAAACCTGGAGACCTTTCATTATCTTTCTACCAGAGAGCCCAACGGCTCTTTCCTCCCACTTCTTTGGAATTCTCTGAAAGAAATCTCCAGCTCTGGAATAATACCCCCAAACCCAGTCTTCCCTTGACCTGGCCTCCACTGTCCCACCTGCCCCAGGACGTGGCCGAGAAAGAAGGGGCTGCCTGGAAGGGAGGGGCGGGGATGTCACAAGCACCTGTCACCTGGCAAGCCCCCTCACTTCGCCATCACCCCCAGCCCCACCCCCCCTCACTCCTGGGAGGG